ATGACCGCTTTATTGTGTCAACAATATTAAGAAATCGGCATCTTAATGCTATTCAGGTGCAACAACAGCTCCGTGAAACACGAGGAGTGACTGTTAGTCAGAGGACAGTAAGACGAAGATTGAAGGAATGACCCCCAAAACACCCGCAATTGGTCCAAAACTTACCCCAGCTCATCGTCAAACACGCCTGCCTTTTGCACGGAACATCTGAATTGGCCACTGTAACATCTGAATTGGGTCACATCTGAATTGGGTCACGGTAGAACAATGGGAATGTGCTTTATTCTCAGATGAGACCAGAATATGCCTCTATGGCAGCGACCGAAGAAGAAAAGTGTTCCAGAGGCCAGATGAGCGATCCGCAGAATGCTATATTCAGGAGCGGATTGCTTATGGAGGTGGTTTCTGCATGATCTGGGGTACAATTTCTATGACTGCGCGAATCGACCCAGTTTTTATCCTTTGGGACGACCGTCGGTACGGGAGAGGAGGTTTAACTGGTGCTAGGTATATTGAGAAGATTTTAGCAGTTCATGTGGTACCTTACGTCGACTACATTGGAAGCGAATTCACTTTTATGCATGACAATGCGAGAGCACACACATCAAGAATCGTACACGATTACATTTCAGAAGTCGGTTTTCGGGTTATGGAATGGCCAGCATGTAGTCCAGACTTAATATATATTATTAATACTTATACACGATAGAACATTTATGGGATGAGCTAAAACGAAGGATTCGTACTAGACAAAGAGCCCCAACCTCTATCCCAGAGCTCATTGTTGCAGTATAAGAAGAGTGGCTTAACATACCGCAAGCAACAATATCAAACTTGATTGAATCTATGCCAAACTGTATGAGAGATGTTGTAAGAGCAAGAGGGGGTCATACCCATTAATGAAAATTTATTTTAGTTAATTGTCAATCAATCAATAAATAAATAATGGCATACATCTTAGTAATAAAAAACGATAATTTGTTTCATGCATTAATTTAATAATTTTAATTCAAAGAAACCAAAATACAAATTAATATCTCTAAACTCTTTTCAAAGAATATGAAATTGTCTTTCAAACAGTATATATTTTTTCTTAATCTGACAAATATATTCTAAAAAATATATAGTTAACTTCAAAAGTTTGCCTTGGACCGATTTCTATGCACGCAAGTGTATTTTTGACTAAAGTAAAAAAATAAAAATTGTTTAGTTTAGTATATATTTTTTTCTTTATTTTGAGTTTCTAGTGAGTAAAGTATAAAAGCATTCATTTCAGTTATTGGGTCCTTTGTCAATATTGTGAAGGGAAAGTTCGAAAATACATTTGGTCAAAGTAATAGCGCACCAAAAATTCTACAATCAGCTTTTATTTTCTATCCATTATGTTGAAAATTGCTCTTTGGCGAAAGCGCCAAAGTTGGAAAATGACGAGAGTACGCTAGCGTCACATAGGTTGCGGCTTTATTACTGCAAAGAGAATTCAACTCTTTCCATTAACGCAACGTTAAGTAATAATACGGATTTTTCTAATATTTTGTAAAAAAGTTACACATCAAAGTTGTTTTTTTTTGTAATGGAACACCGTATACCGGGTGCGTCTCAAAAGTGGCTCACTCTTATAACTTTGATTTTTTTTAGATAAAAAAACGAGATTTGGTTTTGACCTTTTTTGGATTCTCAATTAGATCAAGTTAGATGTTCGGGTTATAACGCGGACGGTTCTAGGACTAGAAAAAACAGTTCAAATTTGATTCTAGCTTGGGAGCAAGAATCGTTTTTGGACCATTTTTGTACTTTTCTTTCTAACCTGTAAAGATTTATGTTTTACGTTTTTTTACCATCCAGGATATTTATTGCAAGAAAATACATCAAACTGATTTTCAAGAGGATATTGAATTATTTTAATAAGTTTTACAAATATTAATAGAGTACTTTCAGAATATTTAAATATAATGTATCTACAGGTAGGTGGGTATTGTTTTTTTAAACGATTAATAACTCATAAATAATTATTAATTTTCAGCAAGAAAAGTGTACTTTTTCATTAAATACTCAGCACTGCCATAATTCTGAATTGATACCTGTAGCTATATATATATATATATATATATATATATATATATATATATATATATATATATATATATAATCTTATACTGCTAAAATATAGTACCTAACATGTATTTAATTAAGAAGACAATTTGAACATGGTGAATGAATAATTCTGCTTTATTTTGTAAGTAAATATTGTTACTATTTTGATATTTAAAATATTACTTTATTTAGTTATAGTTAACATAGCAGTAGTATGTGAAATATATATCATATAACATGTGTCCTTGTATAACAGAGATAAAATATATAAATTATACATATTTATTCATTATTTTAGGAGATGGACAATACATACATATTATAACAAGAACCTATGACTAGTAGGACTTTGATTGAAACAGAAAAAAAATAGGTACTACATCTACAAATTAGTATTATAATAATACTTATTGTTCAATTGAAAAATGTGCCTGAACTACCCGTACGAAACCAGCTTAACCAAGAAGAGCTAAATTATTTTATTATTATAAGTAATATTTCTGAAAATGATCTTGTAGGGAGGGATAAATTACAAATTTACTATAGTAATGTATGTAGTATGTAAAGTAAACGCCACGAATGTTTGGGAGTGATTCATCGCTTGATGAAGTAAGAATCGACACGCGCGCTATCATTTTTACATTAAAAACGTAAATTTTTACCGCAGACGTAGGTTTTTAAAGCCCGGTCTAATCATCTGCCTGCGCTCCTCCTACTTATTCTAAAATGTTAGCGTGATTGACAAAGACGATACTATATCGCGTTTCTTTGATTGATTCGTTTTAATTAATAAGATAATTATTAGATAATTTTCGCCAATTATACGTTTATACAGGGTTGTTCACCACATACGACACGGAGTATTGTAACTAAACGATTAGATTTTTACAAATTGTAAGTTTTGGGTTCGTTAAAGGACTATTAGAGCTACAATTTAAAAATATTTTTACAAGATACAGAGTGTCCCAAATAAATAAAAAATATCAAAGTTGTATTTTTTTAAATAGAACACCCTGTATATTATTGTATTTTTAGTTTCTACGATTAAAATAAAGGTAAATTTGATTAAGGTTTATTACACTTAAACCTTACCGTTTTTGAAATATTTTCAATTTTGTAAAATTGCAATATAAATTTTAAGGCTTCATTTCTCCGAGGGTATCAAAGTTTTTAATACTAAATATTTACTGAAGTTTATTTATTGATCAGTTATTGTGTTGCAATAATAAAAATTGTATCACCTTATACAGAGTGTCTAAAAATTTATTTTAAATAATTACTAGCTTTAAACGGCAATAACTTGTTTAATTTAAATGGAATACCCTGCATATTTTATAAGAATCAGAAGCACAATTTAATTATCTATCAAATTGTATTAACCACTTTTTACCTATCCCTTCAAGTTTTTGCCTATCCCTTCAAGTTTTTCTTCAAAATGCATTTTCTTATAATTTAGACCTCATTTATCAATATACCCATGGAATATTGACATTTTAGATTGTTTTTAAAACAACAAATATACAAAATGTACAGGCTAGTAGTATTATCGTTTTTAGTAAAACGATGATATTACTAGCCCATTTGTATGCAAAAAGAAAACTATTTAAATCTTTATAGAAGAGTATACCATTAATTAAATATACCACCAGGCATTTCCGCCGAAATACTAATTAATTGCATACATAATTGTGTTCGTTAATAAATTATTCTAAATAAATGTGGATTTGAATCAGAAATCAATATAATAATAAGTTATGAAAATGAACGTCTCTGTTGTTATAAATAAGCATTTGTTAAAAAATGAAATATCATTTTTAAGGTGTTAGTTTTTTTACCACACTGTCTAATACACATAAATAATTCAGTTTTTTAGTATTCGGGGCAATTATTATTAATCAACGCAAACAGTCAATTAATGTAGTTTAAATACTGGAATCATATTAATTGGTCCTCTTTAACAAATATTTAAAAAGTTTTTTTTATTTTTTAATGAAACAAACGAACTATATTGACAATATTAGTACCTGTACTCTTTAAAAATTTGGTACATCTGTAAAAATAATCTAAAATGTCAGTATTCCATGGGTATATTGATAAATGAGTTCTAAATTACAAGAAAATGCATTTTCTACGGAAGCTGGAAGAGATAGGTAAAAAATGGTTTAATACAATTTGATAGACAATTAAATTGTGCATCTGATTCTTATAAAATATACAGGGTGTTCCATTTAAATTAAACAAATCATTGCCGTTTAAAGCCAATAATTATTTAAAATAAATATTTAGACACTCTGTATAAGGTAGCAAAATGTTTATTATTGCAACACAATAACTGATCAATAAATAAACTTCAGTAAATATTTAGTATTAAAAACTTTGATACCCTCGGAGAAATGAAGCCTTAAAATTTATATTGCAATTTCACAGAATGGGAAATATTTCAAAAACGGTAAGGTTTAAGTGTAATAAACCTTAATCAAATTTACCTTTATTTTAATCTTAGAAACTAAAAATATAATAATATACAGGGTGTTCCATTTAAAAAAATACAACTTTGATATTTTTTATTTATTTGGGACACTCTGTAACTTGTAAAAATATTTTTAAATTGCAGCTCTAATAGTCCTTCAACGAATCTAAAATTTACAATTTGTAAAAATCTAATTGTTTAGCTACAATATTCCGTGTCGTATGTGGTGAACAACCCTGTATATAGAGTTGTAGTTCTGTAATAATTAAAATAATGAGGTCAACGTTAGAATTAATAAATTATACAGTATTAATGCATAATACATATGTGAGAGTACGAAAACATTACCATAACATTGACCATAAATAATAACTAATGGCAACTGGATAAATTCAATTTGATTTGGACGAAGAATATAACAATCGAAATTACTTACTTTGGGGCATAAGGCTTATCTCTACCACGTCACTTCCATAAGGGTTTGTGACGCTACAGTTATACATTCCGAAGTGTCGTTCTTGCGACTCTCTGATGATCAACGTAGATTTAATTCCCTCAGGAAGCGGATCTTCCAATATGGAGTAATCCTGATCGTGTAGGTCCACTTCTCTCCCGTTAAATGTCCATACTACGCGCTCAGGAGCTGGTATGGAAAAAGCTGTGCATTCCACGCGAACGTTGTCACCTTCGATGCCAAACTGTGTTCGGTGGGATACTATTGATGGTGGACCTGGAAAATATTTATTTAAGTAACCTATAGATTGCAGTACTAAGTAATTTTAACACTTAATATCGATTAATGAAATATATTGTTAAAATCGGAAAATATGAATTTTGAAAATTGTGATTAATACCAATTAACATTATACCCCGCTGGCAAGCGAACCTTTAAGTCGGCGTTTACATGTATAGGAGTGAGTCGTTATGGCAATCTAGTAAGTCGGAGTTAGCAAAAATACGAAGTATTTATTCAGTACATCTTATTTTACTAAGCGTGTTGACCGTACTCTTCGTACACATGAAAACCGGCACCCAAGACCAGAAATGCCGACCCTTAGTATACTGGGTGGTCCGAACTGTATTCAGGAAACGTCGGCAGCATATTCTGCAGATAAAAATAAGTAAAAAAGTTCGTATAAATATATATTCTAAAATGCTTACTTTCGGAGACATAGGGTGTAGAACTTTCATGTTTATTTCGATTTTTTCCCAATAATTTTTTTAAGTGACGTCAATATTTAGATGAAAATTCGTGTCTGGTATAGTTTTTTGACATGAGAAATTTGATTTTGATGTCAATATGTCTCCTACTTGTAGAGGGCGCAACCTACATATTTTTAAACTGGTTTGAAGAGTAATAACTTTTCGTACGTACCTGTATAAAACTACTGAGTGTAAAAAATATACATTTCCGTGATTTTTTACGTAAAAAATGACTCGTCATAAAAATCGCTACGAGCAACCGTTCTCAAGATATTTAGAATAAAAAAAAGCAATGTTGAGTAGATGATAGTTATTTGACTGAAATGATAAATTTGGGAACTTATTATTTTTTTAAATTAATCATAAATTTTTCTTCGGAAAAAATGATGATAAAACAGTTCTTGCTGAACTTTTGTCACAAAAATATTTCAAATTTATGATTTCAGTCTAACAAATATTTAGTCAACCTGTTTATTTTATGTCAATGATGACAGGTATTGATAATTTCGATTCCAAATATCTCGAGAACCATTATTCCTGGCGATTTTTACCAAGAGACCTTTTTTACGTAAAAAACGTCGTAAATGTATATTTTTTTACTCAGTAGTTTTATACAGGTACGGACGAAAAATGATTGTTCTTCAAACAATTTAAAAATATGTAGATGGCGCCCTCTCAAGTAGGAGTCATATTGTCATGAAAGTCACATTTCTCTTTTGTCAAAAAACTCCCAATTCACCAATTTTCATCCAAATATTTACGTTACTTCAGAAATTATTTGAAAAAAATCAAAATAAAAATGAATCTTCTACACCCTGTATCTCCAAAACTAAGCATTTTAGGACATACATTTAGTTTTTTTAGTTTCTGGAATACAGTTCGGGCCACCCTGTAGAATATTAAAAAAAATTAAAAAATCGTAAAAAGAATTAGCAGTGGTTTCAAGTACTATTATTTCTAACACTATTATTTCTAACACTATATTTAACAGAGATTTTTTTAAATTGAAATGTAAATATATCTGTGCGCGTTCATAATTTAATAATGTGCAGTTTCCATGTGGAAATATTGAAGCGTAAATGTGCGACAATTTCCATATTTGTAAGCAATAACACCGGTGTATTCGGTGAAATGCTGCATTTTCCCAACAAACATCTGGGGGAAAATGTGAACTAAACTGAAGAAATTCAAAATTCCATTATATTTAGATATGTACTTATGAGGAAAAGCAGCTGGAGTGAATTTGTGAAGAGGAATAGAAGTATCAGCATTAAACTGTAATGCATAATTTATACCAAAAATGCAAGAGAAATCTTGGGTCTTTGTGTTTTTTTTTCTATATCTAAAACCTTATTTTTGTACTAAAAATCTTTGAATATAGAGATTAAGACAGGAGCATGTCAAAAAACTCAAGTTGAGCACGATCGGGACCTAATATGGCTAACTTAAATTCCGTTTTATCAGTGCCGTTCTAATTTTATTTAGAAATGTAAAAATATAATGCAGGGTAGACTCAAATATGACTTAATAATTTTTTTAATCTTTTTTTAGCTTTTATTAAAATTGTTCTAAATATATATTTCTAACGTCAAACTGAACTCTCAAGGGTGGGGACCTATGACGTCGATTCCGTCCACCATGCATATACCGGGTGCGTCTCAAAAGTGGCTCATCCCTATAACTTTATTATTTTTTTAGATAAAAAATCGCGATTTGGTATGTTAGTGTAGGACATAAATTGGGATTGATTGACGTATTCAATTGTTTTCGGTCACTTCCTGTTTCACCGGAAATGACTACAACTTTTGATTTTTAAATGGCACCCTCGGTATTTTGTTACTTTATTCGATAGAAAATGACACTCTGAATAGAATGACATATCATACGTCAACTTGTGACATTTTCGGATGTAGTTTATTTGAAACTGCAACATGTGGTTTATAACGACAATTTGACTCTATACCAATCAATACTCTATACCTCAAATACCAAGTGTGTGGTAACAAATTATTCGTAAAAAATTATTTTTCCATTCCAAAAACATTAGATAATGAGAATTATTTGTCCAAGGCTCCTTGACTAACTGCATGCTGAAGAGTCAATCGGCATGGAACAAGATAAAGGAGTATGCTGAGACCATAGTCAAAGATCTTCGCGCCACGAACGAAGAATAGACAGCAGTAACATCGAATAATAAGAACGCCCCGGCGAAGTAGTATTCACGAAAAGTGCCGCCGGGGAAAGAACGTTCCTGGAGAGAGCACAGAGGTGTAGGTTAGGTTTTAGTGAGGTAAAAATCCCATAACTCGTCTGGCAGTTTGTAGGTTTTCCCAGGCGAGTTGCAGGTTTCCCCTTTCACCTCTCATATCTAAACAAAAAAAGGAGGCTCCTTGATTAAAAATAAGTGTTTTTAACACAACCATGGCACTCTAGATTGAAATTTAAAATACAATTTTATTTTAAGCAAAAATTTCAAAAGTTGACATATGATGTCATTCTCTTCAAAGTGTCTTTTTCTGTCGAATAATGTAAAAAAATACCGAGGGTGTAATTTAAAAATCAAAACTTGTAGTCATTTCCGGTGAAACCGGAAGTGACCGAAAACAATTGAATACGTCAATCAATCCTAATTTGTGTATACTAACATACCAAATCTCGTTTTTTATCTGAAAAAATAAAAAAGTTATAGGGGTGAGCCACTTTTGAGACGCACCCGGTATAGTATTATTCGTCTTTCTTAAACTTTTTATTTAATAACTACTGACTTTTTTAGTTTATTTACGACAAATCAGAGGTATTATAAATATCGTAAATAAGAAAATTGTTATGGCAACAAGGGGGTTAATAAATAATTAATTGGGCTGGTTATTCTGTGGATCGGAAGAAAAGGAGGAGAGAATCGAACAAAGAAAATTATAAATTCGTCTCAATTTAGATAATTATAAGGTGCGGCTTTTGAAATGGAGGGGTAAACGGAGTACCGCCGCCGCGTGTGCGACTTATTCGAAATGCCTGTTGTTGTGCAGCGCGGCGTGACGTCTAATATGACAGCATAGCGGCTTTGACGTGTTTATCTTCGTTTTGTTATTCGGAGGGTGTTTAATCGAAAAGCCACGTGAACTGTAATTAAAGAGTTGTTTTTTTTTCGCGTGGAAATATTTAATATAGTCCTGTATGTTTAACGAACGTGACAATCAAACGATCAAGTCGAATTAAACATAAAGCTATGCTATCGATTTAGTAATTTGTACAAAAATAACGGACTGCTAGACAGCGAAAAAAATGGTTATAAAATTAAGGGAGTATTTTTCATAATTATTACTAATTCGTGTATTTTGAAAGATACGGGATAATACTAAATATACGTTCTATTTTTTAGAACAAGTTAAAGAATATATATCTGGCACAAATTATTGAACTGAAAACAGAAAACTAAACAGCTGAAATAAAGAAACGAATAAGATTTTCCTGGGCACTTCTGCAGCATTCGGTAAACTAAGCTACATATTAAAAAACAAAAAATACACCCCACAAAACCAGAGTATATAATCAATGTATATTCCTTGTATTCAGTTATTGATCCCAAACCTGGACACTTCCCATCAGGACAGAAAATCAAACATAAATAAGGTAACAAAAGCACCAAGATCAATGGAAAGACAAATGTTACGTGTATAAAGCTTAATTTTCATGCATCCGTTATCCGACGGTACGATGATACGATATTAATTTTATTGGCTGAATTTAAAGACTTTGATTGGTTAGAAACCGTTTACCAATCGAAGCCTTTAAATTCAACCAATAAAATTAATAACGTATCATCGTATCGTCGGACAACGGATGCATGAAAATCAAGCTTAAGGCTGGCAGATAGAAAAAGGAACGAATAGATCAGAAATAAAACAAAATCAAGGGTTGTTAGAAGAGAAGTAGCAAAATTAAAATGGAAGTTTGCAGGTCACAGTATTACTCGTAGACAAAGGAAATACCGATAGAACAAATGCATCATATACTGGAGGTCCTGGGAAAATAAAAAAAAAATAGAGGAAGACCTCAGAAGAGAGGGGCGGACGATTTGAGGAAACATATGCCTGCAATTGGTGTCTACTAGATGGATGAACATGGCGAGAAACAGAGAAGAGTGGGAGAGATTGGGGGACGCATATGTCCAACGATGGACCGAAGAGGGCTAAATAGATAGATATACGTACTATTTTTGAAATAGGCACAGTAAACTTTATAAAATTATGATAAAACATAGTGTTTTGGACTCTGATGTTTGCAACATGTTAATTTATAATTGTTATAAAGCTAAAAGTAACAATATTCTCGTAAGCTACTTTGTTAAATACTAAAGTGTGAACACTTAAAACGTGACTTAGTGGTGCCTGTTAGTATAGTGTTGTAGTGTGAACACTTAAAACATCCTTTGTGCCTGTTAAAAATGGCGAGTCCCTAATTCAGTTGGATTGATTTTTCCCCTACTTTAAGAGGAAACCAAACGTTGAAAATTTCTACGCTATTTGT